ATTGTGCAGCAACGGCACCCGGTCAGTGCTGATCCCCAGGTGATGCCCAGGGAGCTCCTCAAGAGACTGCTTCACCCTGGGGCAATGTCAACCATGAGCTGATCCCTCCTGACCTCAAAAGCCTATGGCAAGTGCTCAAAGTAGAGTTTCCTCAACCTACTCCACCTACCTCCATTAAAGCAGCTGAAGCTCAGCAGCACATCAGGTCTCGGGCAGCATCAGCTCGGTGCTCACCATCCATGTCCACAATGGGAACGCAGTTGCCCTTTGTCTCACTGAAAGCCCTTCCCAAATGCAGCTGTCCCCAGTGGGTCATTTTCCACTTGCAAGAGCTTTGGAAGGAACTGAGCCCTTTGCTCCTTTTGCACTTCAGCTTCATCCATGCTTGAATCACCGCCGAGAACCTGGCAATGATGGACTTTTCACCCCAGGCTGTGCTTCTCACATTGGTTTGTTCTGCCAAAACCGAGGCCTTTTTTGCCAGAAAAAGGTACCCCGTCATCCCTACGTTGAGAGGGATACCTCCCCTTCCTGGAGCTCGCCTCGGCTCAGGCCAGAAATGCAATGAAACAATAAGAGGTTTTATTCTATAAAGCACAGCAAAAGGCTCCCTGCCCTCACCCCACAAGCAAGGGCTTGCTCACATCAGGTCTCCTGGTACTTCCGAGCAGGCACTTGCCCTCCACTAAATATTGACAAGAATCCAGTTAATCACAAACACAAACAGGCTTTCAGGATTTGGTTTCCCCATTATGGGTCAGAACAAGCCAATCTGTGTGCTGGAAAAGCAGCAGCTTCCCAGCAGACACCCAGGAGGTTTGTTAGTATGTGCTCAGGGAGCAGCAGCCAAGGTACAGCCATCGCCTGCTCTGACAGCACTAAACACTCCTAAGACCTCCTCAATCCACAGCTTGCAATGGGATAAGCAGGATAAAAGGGGTTTTCCTTGACCATATCCAAGGTGACATCTCTTCAGGCTGCAACTGGAGAGTCCCTTTGGGAAAAGCTGGTTTCCAGCTGCTGGAAATCAGTGTCGCCAGTTGCTCCTCTGTTTTTCATCTAGAAAGAGTTCAAGGCCAGGTTGGACACAGGGGCTTGGAGCAAGCTGCTCTAGTGGAAGGGGTCCCTGCCTGTGGCAGGGGTTGGAGCTGGAAGGGCTTTAAGGTCCCTTCCAACCCAAACCATTCCATGATCCTATGAAAACCAGCCCACAACAGGGCAAATAATAATGGAAAATAACAGCGAGAACTAGATCTGTATTATTTTAAAATCTCTTTATTGTAAATAAATGCTGATGGGATATTTATGCTCAAGTGCAGAGAGTTCACAACAAACAGCACAGGTTTATATACACTGCATTTCTTTGAAACCTAAAAAATCACATTAGGAAGCAGTAGTGCAGCCAAATTGCAAGTAGACGTGTAACATCGATCTTACCAAACACAAAGATGCATTTGCAAACAGTGTTCAGGGACAGAGCAGCAGCAGGAGAGGCAGAGGTGGCACCAGCAGCACCCTTTGAAGGAGGACAGGGTGAGGGTTTAGGATGTACCCATGGAGCTGGTGGTTCCTGGAAGCACTGACAGCAATGCTGCTGCTCCCAAGGCTTCCCCATCACCTGCTGCCAAGCTACCAGCAATAGGATGACTTACAGTGGTGGCAGCTCTAATGGTGCAGGCAGTGTATGCAAACTCCAGCTACCTGGGCTGGTTTGAAGCCTTTTTCCTTGCCTGATTTTCCCCATCACTGGTGGCAGAGATGGAACAGATTTTGCCTGAGATCACTGCTCTCTAAAATAACCCATAATGCTGACGGAGCAGCTGTTGGGCCCCTGGACCACAGCTCAGGGTGGCTGCCACCACCACCTCCGCTGCTAGAAACAGAGACACAGAAAGTGAGGGAAACACAGAAAACTCCCAAGTCATGAAGCAATGCTCCTGAAGGAACCAAGCCCCCTTCCACACCTCCCAGCTCCTCACCTCTACCTGCCCAGCCCAACACACCAGTGCCAGTACAACCGAGAGCACAAGCAGCTGCTGAGCCTCAGTTCAGCCCATTGTGCAATCGCTGTTTATCCGGGGGTGTTTGCACGCACAGTGCCAAGGAAATCAGGTGATTTCAAGGAAAAACCTGGCACAGGGACCTGTATGGGGCTGGGGAGATGTGTGGGGTCACTAGCATCGTCCCAGCCCCACTGCCCCCAAAGGCTCAGCAGGACCCGGGACCATGGCAGGTATGACTCACCCACCTGGCAACAATGATGATCATGAGTCTGCTGCTGCTCTGCTCTGGACACCTGTATTTAGGCCTTTTGAAAGTTAAAATGCAGGAGGAAAAGGCTATTATTAGGCTTTGATTAAAGCAACAAGGCACGAACACTGCCATCTGCAGAGGTGGCTGAGAGGCTCCATCCCATGACCCAGCAGCCTACGACCAAAGCAAGGACCCACAACAGGAATAAGGTACCCACAGTCAGTGATAAGGACCCAGAGACCTGATTTTTAACAGTGATTAATACAAATATTAATTACAACCAACATCATAGTAGCTGCCTTCATGAATCCTGGCAGGTAAAAACATGTATTTTGTCTCCTTACAGCCATTAACTACTCAATGATACAAAGAGAATTAACTCCTTCACAAGTTATTACTGCATATTGTGCATAAACATCCTACAGTACATTGCTACTCCTTTTTTACTCACAGAGCAGGAGATGGCTGGACAGGAGCAGCCAGCCCAATGTGCTTTGTGCGTTTAGAGCATCACTGGAGTGTGACAGCGAGTACCACCATGTAATAGGCTGGAAATCTCTTCCTGCAAGGTTTTTTGGCTCGTTTCTAAGCACTGTGACATTTAAAACCCAAGAACAGACTCTGCTCCTGCACAGCAAACCTGTGCCCCCGTGAGAACGGCGGAAGGAACAAAACTATGACAACTCAGTTTCTCACCCACTCAATTTCTTTCCTCTGCGGCACAATTGCTTTAGATTAACACATGCTTCTGCTCCTCAGAAATCCTAAGGGGTGAGGATTAATGTCTGGGCCTTTGCCATGCCCCTTCCTATCTCAGCTTTATCAATTTACAAGTCTGGAGTGCTTAAAATAACCCAGATTTGAGCTCAAAATCTCCAGGTAAATCTCAGGCTTCAGGGCTGCTGAGCTCCTCTGCAGCGCTTCTCAGGCACAAACCCCTGCTCTGGGTATGGCCAACATCTATTCCCACATTTAAAATAAGCAACCTGGGTCCCAGAAGTTGCTCCTACGGAGGCAACTTGAAACCTGGAGTCAACTTGAAACAGCAGGTCCAGAAGAGCCTCCTGCTTCATACCTAAATGCCCCTTTCTTCAAGAAGGGTAGGAGCAGGATAAAATGGAGTTTGGCATAACTGGCTTTGTTTTAAACTGTCAGAGGGGAGATTTAGGTTGGAGATAAGGGAGAAGCTCTTCCCTGTGAGGGTGCTGAGGCGCTGGCACAGGGTGCCCAGAGAAGCTGTGGCTGCCCCATCCCTGGCAGTGCTCAAGGCCAGGTTGGACACAGGAGCTTGAAGCAAACTGCTCCAGTGGAAGGTGCTGTTCCTGCCCGTGGCAGGGGTTGGAGCTGGAGGAGCTTTAAGGTCCCTTCCAACTCAAACCAGGCTGGGGTTCTATGATTCCAAGTCAAAATCTGTGGGAGAAAACTCAATTTGGAGTTTTGGTGGGGATTTAAGTAACACATGAGCTGCACCACACGGCAGCTTCCTCACCTATGCACTGAACACTAAAGCAGCTTAAACTCTATTAAAAGCAGCATTATGCATCAACATCATTCACAGCTTTTTCATAGGCAAGTTTAAAAACCTTGTTGGTGGGCTTAAGTTCTGGTACATTAAAAAGACAACTGGTAAAAGATCTTGTGCTTCTAGCAAGCCCTGCACATGTGGCCCTGAGAGCAAAGTGATGCTCTCGTTTTCTGTTCTCACAGATAAAAGTGTCCATAGAACACAGGAAAAATGAGAGGAGGAAGCTTAGATCTGGGTGCAAAGCCAAAGCAGGACTTGAGCTCAGTTTCAACAGCACTAAGCTCTTTCCAGAGAGGGACAGGAGGTTTGATTCCCTTCTGCCCCTCGCAGGATCTGCTGACCTAGCAAGCGCCGTGTGTTTTATAGGATGAGCAAAAGCCTTCCCAGAGCAAAGGAACCAGCTCGGATCTGGGGATTTAAATCAGGAGTCCTGAAAACAAAGCTGAGCAATGCCTGGAGCTCTGGGGACAGTTAAACACCACGAGTACTGCACTTGACATTAGAGATGGTAACAGCTAAATAAGAACTTGGGGATTTGGTCTGCTTACACCAAAGAAAAGCTGCTTTGGTGAGTATGAGTATGACCATTTTGTCCTGCAAACACTGCAGTTAATTTCGCTACCTGATGAGGAGGACAAACAGGGGACCCCAGGAAGCCCAGGAATAAATTAGCTCACATCCTTCTCCAATCCCATGGGCAGACACTGCAGCATTCAGAAAGAAAAGACACAGAGAGGCTCTAAACACACATTTCAGAGGAGAGGGTGGGCCGAAGCGGCAGCAGCTCACTGCGCTCCAGGGATGCTCAAGTCCAGCCGCAGGGCTCTTCCCAGCCGTGGAAATCCCAGATGAAAGCCAAACCTCTACACCGTTAAACTGGCCATCCTCTACAAATGAGAGAGAAACAGGACACGTTAGACCAAGGCTAAGTCAGGAGATGTAAAGCAGGGACAACAGAGCTCAGCTTAGTGCTGGGGATGGACAGAGATACTACACCAGCTCCATATAATCACTCTGCATCATTCCAGCATCCATATAATCATTCTGTATGACTGAGACCATCAAAGGGTTTTCTTCTTTACTTCTACCCCAGCAAATAATGAGTTGCCTCACACTTTGCATCATCCTTTAACCTCTTGCAAAGCTCTATGAGAAGGGTTTCCCACCCTGGGACCATGCAAGCTCAGCTTTTCTGGAGGCAATAATGAAGCAGGCTGGTTACTGAGGGTTGCTCACTTTTATTTCTCTTCTCCATAGGAAAATACACTTCCAGAACAAAGAAACATTATAGGAATCATTTCACATATTAACCACAATAAATACTTCTAGTTTTGATAGAACTACTGCCTCAGTGAGGGCTCAACAGACACCACAAACACACTCAGGTCAGTACAAGTGAATTCAAATCACACAAGTTAAAACCCATTAACCAGGATTTCCTACAGCTGCTGTTCATGCAATGTCTCAGAGCACAGAAAAGGCTCCTTTTGTGCCATGGCCAGTGCCTGCCCTGCTCAGATGCAGCACTCACACTGCAAACCAACGTGTGAATCAATAGGTCTAAGCTGTCTTTGTTACTGCACCAGCACTGGTTTGCCATTAAGAGAACCAATGGCACAGCTCTGGAGCCAGTTTGCTGCCAACCAACACCTGAAATCCAGCAGTTGGGAAATCCAGACCCTGCATATGTTCTATTTGCAATTAAAAACCAAAGCAAAGGAAAATTAAAACAGTTTTCCCAACAAGGACACTTCGAGAGTAACCATCATCAGGGCTAATCCATAAGAGCTGCTCACATGCTACCTTCTCAAGCAAAACAGCAGTACTAGGAAGGAAGGAAGTTTGTACTGGAATTGAGGAAGCTGGACCAAGTTGCTATCATTTATCTGCATCCCCTCCTAGGAAATCTGTGTTATTTGTTTAAATATAGGGGGAAAGAAGCACTCCAAGTACATACATTCATTTTCTAACCACACGGCCCAGAGCAAAGGCAAATCCAAAGGGGCAAGGCTTTGATTTTTAGCCTATGGATAATATTCCTCTGATTGGATTCTAAATTAATATTAGTACAGGAATAATTTCTCAGATTTAGCACAAGCTCCCCAGCTCAGGTTCTTTCTCCTTTTCCCCCTCATCATCAACATTAAGGCCTCTGAAACACAGAGAGACAGGCAGCTTTAGGAGAAACAGGCCCTTTTGGCATCACTACTGGCTGGACCATTCTCAAGTTGCCATCCCAGCCTGGGAGATGCTCTGCAGCAGGACCTGAGCCTGATGCTTTGTGCGCTTCCACAGCTTTGGCAGGTCAGTAAGAACACTCTGCAGCATTATTCAAAATGCTATCCCAAACTAGCAAACAGGAGACAGAGGCATGTCACTTTGGGATCAATCCCATACCTTTGTGTCCCATAACATCGCGGTGACAGAGTAAGAGCAGCTGCATTGACAGAATGGTTGGAAGAGCTTCACTTCAAGGACAAAGTGCAATTAAAGCAGAAAACTGCACATCCAAAAGCCAAATACATTCAAGGGGGAGTTTCTCAGGGCTGGAGGAACATTACCTGAGCAGAGGCAGGAGCTGCACCTCCCTTCTCTGGAAGGGATGAGCTGCATCCTATGACAGCAAGGGGAACACCCTGCCACAGGGGAAACAGGAGCTCACCACCCAAACCTGGACCCTGTTTCAACACTTGGCATCTGGAAACTGAACCAGCTCCTGCTTTACTTTCTTTGCACATAACCCAGCTCTCTGACACCAGAGCACCAGGAGTGAGAGGATCTGTCCAAGGGCAGAGGCAAGGAGGGAGCAGAGCCTTGCTGAGAGCAAGAGCAGGTCAGCAACAACCCCAGCAGCCCATGTGCAGCAACAGCAAGCCCCCAAGGACACAGCTTGTGCCATCTCTGAGCCCACCCTTAGGCACCACCACCCTTGGGTGCTCCCCAGCACAGCCTGCTGCTCCCAGAGAGGGACATCACTGTTATCCCAAAGATGAGGGATGCAGCCAGATACTGTGGGTCACCGCAGTGCATGGGGATGAGCATGGCTCAGCGCAGAGGATGCACTGTGAGAGCTGCCAAGAGCCATCCCACAGCCCCATGCAGGGACCTGCTCTGCAATAATGCAGCCAGGTCCCCAGACAGAGCAGCAAAACCCCCCTTCACAAGACAAAACCCATCAGCACTGTGTGTACTGCAGGAGGAGAAACACCCGAGGAGCCAAGAGCAGGGTTGCAGCAGGGTCTGCCCCAGGCACCAGCAGAGCAGGGCTGGTGGGAGCACAGCGAAGCGAGGGCATCTCCAGCCTTTGTGCATGGGGCAGCAGCCGTGGTCTCATCCAAGCCCCTTACTCAGAGGTTGAGGGGGAAGCCAAGGGTTCGTGGGTGATGCTGGCTGCAGGCTCCCTAAAGAGAGGGGGACAGACAAGGACATGTTCTCCCCTTAGGGTGGGAGGGAGTCACACTCCCTTCGCCCCCAGTCAAGGGGCCTCAAAAGGGACGTGGTGGTGAGGACTCAGTGACAACAGGCACCCGCACAGGAAGGTTTATCCACCCAGCTACTTGTCAAGCACATGCTAAACCCCCCCAGCTCCCTCAAGCCATGGGGAACTGGGGCTGAGCAGCACCACTCCCATCCAGCCTACAAAATCCAACAACTCCTGCAAAATCTCTGCCATCCATGGGTCACCAGATGGAAAGGAGACATATATGGGAGCCAGCACTGCTCAGGACGGGCTACATGGCTCAGCCTGGCAGTGCCAGTGCAGCCATTCCACATCCTGGTCCAGGCATGAAGCAAGCTCAGGGTGAAACACACTTTATGGGCAGCCATCAGAAGCATATTCACCAGTAAAACCAGTTGGAGCCCCTGGATTAGTGGGCTCAGCCTGGTAACATACTTCTCCCCCACTGAGGTCCCCCTTAATGACAGGTCCTTAATGACAAAGGAAAAGACTTCCTTCTGCTCCATGCATCTGTCTTTCACCACAGTAGATTCCATGCAATAGTAATCAAGAGAAGTCCTACTTACTAGACCAAAAGAGAGTACATAGAAGCTGCTTTCAGTGATACTCACAGGCAAGCAATTCCCCCTTGAGGCTGCAAAGGAAAGAAGAAACAGCACAGGATAGCTCATAGTGCATTTTAAGGGAGATTTTGAAATAATAGGACAAGCAGCAAAGCAAATGAGGAAAGAAGTGAAGCAACCCCAAAGATGCCATGTCAGGGAGCTGGGGGGAGGCTTGTATCACAGAGGAGCTGATACAAGGCATGGACGGTGCTGCAGTGCCTGGCCACCTCCTCCCTCCACTGCTGCTTATCCCAAGGGCTCCATTCAGGCAAAAGGTCCTGGGGCAGGACTATTCCCTACCACACAGCCAGCCCAGAACCCAGGCCTTACTAAATGCTCCTTCATCACTACAAGGATGAAGGGTACAACTGCAAACGGGGGGGGATCCCTGTCCTGGGGCACCCACCTCAGGCCATCAAGGTCCTCTCCAGCCGAGACATGAAGCAGAATTGCTGTGGCTCAAATCCACCCCAATGCAAAGCCCTGGCTGGTTCGGTGCACCAGAGCCCTGGGATTTGGGGGATGCCTGAGCCTCATGCTCTAAACCGAGCATGGAAACACCAGCAATGTTCACCCGTGCTGCATCACCCCTTCCTTTGCTCTCTGGTCACTTACCCCGAGGGAAGGGGGGGAAGCTGGGCTCACTAATAGCTGGGGAAACATTAACCTCTAAAGCATCCAAGATTAAACAGCTTTGGTAATGGCTCTCTGCACATTACAACACACATGTAATGTGCACATTACTCTGCATGTTACAACATAGGTTCTTTCCAACCCTAACTTCTATGACTCTGTAGGACCCAGCCAAGACCTCCTCAAAGTCCCCTCCAAACCTCTTTGCCTGTGCTCTCCCAGGCACACACCTCAATTTAACCTCATTTAACCTCAATTTAACACCTCATTTAACAGCAAAACAAGTTTAAATGAGCAAAGAAACAAATGGGACTCTGCACCCAACACTGATGAGGGCCTTGGTGCCTTTTTTAAGCCAGATGAAACACCAAGCACCCAAAGCTGCTTTATTCTGGGCACCCAAAGAGCCCAAACTTTGTTCAATAAGCTGCTGACAACGGGATCTGCAAGAAAACAGGCACTGACAAAGTCATGATTCAAGTATTTTCTACCAGGGACTGGAGCAACACTTGGCTGCAGCATCTAACTTAGACAAAGAGGATACTTGTAACTCCTTCCAGTTGGGTTTTTGCCAGAAAGCATCACCCAGAATCAGCCACCCTGCCAAAACCCTACTGCACTGATGGAAACTCACCTGCACAAAGCCTCATGATCACAGAATGGCTTGGGTTGGAAGGAACCACAAAGCCCATCCAGTTCCAACCCCCTGCCATGGGCAGGGACACCTTCCACTCAATCAGGCTGCTCCAAGGCCCAACCAACCTGGTTCTGAAAGCCTTTGGCACCACAATTCTAGTTTAATGGGGTGACTTTGGGGGTTATGAGTGTCTAATCCAGGAGGATTCTTACAGGGAAACAAAGCCCCTGGGAATGGGCTGCATTCCAGACAGGACCACTGACAGCTGCGGGTGATGGTGGGGAAGGGAAACACAGAGAAGGTACCACCTGGACCTCAACTTGCAGCTGCTGCTGGTCGGCCCCATCTCGAGCTTCCAGGGATGGGAAAGGCCCCACGAGGTCGAGAGGTTTGCTCCCAACGCTGTAATGGCGCGGGCGCTTTACCGTGTCCGCGCTGGCCCGCGGCGTAAAGCTGTTCCTTCTCATCCTCGCAGGGCTTTGGCCGGAGGGAAGCTTGTTCTGATCCCAGGTGGAGGGAATCACAAGGAATGAAAAGGGGAACCACAGTTTACAAACGCATCCACGACGGCGCACACCTCCCCTGCAGAGCACCAGCAGGGGCAAACACCCCATCCGCTCGGCTGATCTGCCTCGGAGGCCACTGAAAAGCCTCTTTCTGAGCAGTTTCACTTCCCTTTGAGAGTCTTTTGCTTAGCTTTGTTCAGGGAGGGGTGGTTTTGGGTCATTTTGGGGTTTATTTTCCTTTTCTCCCCACAATCAATTTAGCATAATTAGAAATAGAAAAACTTTCCATTCTTTGTGTTTCTTCTCCCCCAAAGCAGCCGCATTGCCCGAGTAAAGCCAAGAACAACAGAAACAGCCTCCCACTTCTCCAGGCGAGCAATGATTTCGACACAGGCATCACACAGAGGTCGCAAAGCGATCAGTGACTGACTGGAAAGCACCAGCACGGGACCGGGCACAAAAACCTTGCTGAATATCCTCAGTTTAGTGTTTTGCAACCAGCTGGATTTAGCTCCACAATCCCTCCAGCCACAGATGCAGGTTCTCAGTCTCTTCTCTCCTCGTTTATGGTCCCTTGGCATAGGGGATTTTATGTTGGGACACAAAAACCAACCATATCCCAGACAATCAACCAATAGCTCTTTATACAGCACAACAAGAAGCAGCTAAAAAGCCTAAACATAGCAAAAGAACTTAAGATGTGATGCACTTTGATTTCCTGTGAGCTAGCACAGCAGAGAGCTGGTTTACGCTCTTTAATCGGGGGAGCTAATTACAGGCAATCACTACGCACCATTCCCTGATGGATCAATCCCTTTGCAAAGCTGCATTTACAGAAGCAAGCACCTACAGTAACAGCAGCTTCCACAGACTCAGCACATAATTACGTGGTGCCTCCACAAGGTGGATGGCTGAGCAGTCATTGAAGTAAAGGGAGACAGGAGCTCATAAATAAAGCCAGAGCCTGAAGTGTTTCCACTACTGCTCCAAGAGGATTCACGGTGCAAGGGAAATAAATTGGACCCATCTCCTCATGCCTCCAATACGTACAAAGTTTAGGAACACCGCAGTCTTGCTTTGCCCCAGACACTTGTCTCTGCTGATGTCTTGTGTGTTTTACAAGGGAAAACCCTCTGTTCCTGCCCCGCAAGGGCTGCGAGAGCCACCAAGAACCACCCCTAGAACCCAGCCTTACCCCAGTGGCAGCTTTACAAAGAGAAAAGCTCATCAAGACAGTGAAGGAAAAATAAATCACTTCCAAACATTCTGGCAACTCTTTCTGAGGTTATCACCATTAAGAGAAACAAGCAACAACAACTCCATCAACTGAGACCAGGAACTCCAAGATCTCCGTTTTAAACTTGCCCGTTCTGCCTCCTACAATAGCTCCGAAAGCATCTCTCCCTGGCCTGGGAAACAAACTAATTCCACCCCCTATTAATTCTGCTTTGGGGGGGGGATTCTTTCTGAAGCAAGCCTTTGTGCTCACTGACAGCAGGAACTGAGGAGTGTTTCAGGGTCCTTACTTTTGGAATGGGATAAAGCCCGAGCAGTGCAGCAAGAACTTACTGAGTTCAGACAGGGTTTGTCACGATGGGTGTTCACTGCTTCCACGTTCAGGGTGATTGTCTCCACTTTACAGCCTTTACCACAAGAGAAGTTAATATGAGGAAGGGTAACTTAAGAAATAATCATCTTTTATTTTCATACTGGAAACAGCATGGGAAGTGAGCAGCAATAAATGGGTTCCAGTTTTAAGACAGCTCAAACAAACAGGACTTCACACTTGAACTACATTCTGGCTTTGACCTTCACTGTTCAGCCCTGTTATGGGGACTATAGGTCCATCCACAAAAAGCCATTTTTAACTGACTGCACCCCAAACTGGAGGCACAAACAGCCTCAAAATGGGTGAAATCCAGAGATAATTATCACTTGTGTAGGAGATGGAAACACCCTGGCACCCACATATCTCCTCTCCCACTGCTCCCTCCAAACCCTCCCACAGTCCAGAACCTTTATATATATTAAATACACCACCAGAAGCTTCTATAGCTCAGCTGGTTGCTGCCAGACATGAACACAAACCCGCCCATTAGATTCCCTGCCCATGGCAGTGGGTTGGAAGTAGATGACCTTAAGGTCCTTCCCAACCCAAACCACCCCATGATACACACACACATAGACACCAGGGGAAGAAAAGACAGTATTTACCATATGCCACAGGTGTGAGCTTCAGAATGGTGTGGAGAGGGCATCGCAGGTAGGGCAGCTCATCTAGGACAGAGGCAGGCGTTATGGGGTATTATGGGGTGCTGCCCACACCAGCCGCCCCACTCTGCCCAGGCTTTGGGTGGGAACGTTCCACATAGCAATACTGGATGCAGCAGTGGGACAGGACCAAACCCACCATTCCCAACACATGGGGCCAACAAGAGGAAGCCTCTCCAGCTGCACACAGGTAGGAAAGCACCACAGCAACAGCTGCCATGGACCCACGGGAGTTCTACTTGGAGTGAATAAACTTTACTAAAGGCTTTACTAAACTCCAGTGCCACTCACTGGAGCATCATAAAGGAGCCTGCACTGGAACTAGCTTCCAGGTGAGTATGCCACAGAAAGGATCAGCATCAATCAGCAATGCAGCACAACTGCCAACCCTTTGGGTCCCCATGCACCACAAAACTTCCCCTTTACATTGAAATAAAGTCCCTATAGAATACATAAGTGCCACCGGTGAAACAGCAGCTGAGCAGAGAGTGAGCAGCACTCTCCTGCACTTCACGCAGGGAGAGCTTCTTGCTCCCTGCCCCACTGAACTGCAATGGTTAAAGTCTGTGAGCAATGTTTGCTTTGCTTTTTTAAGCACCTCTTGCCTTGTGAGAAATCCAAAGAGCAATTACAAGCCACCCTCCCCGACGCCCTGCAAAGGAAGCAGCAGAGAAACCAGCCCCTTCCACCGCTCGCTTATTTTTGTACCTGCACTCTTGTCAAGAAAATAAGCCAAGAGGCACCTCATAACCGCCTGGTGGGAGATGACGAGGACGTTGCCTTGCCTTTCCAGCTCCATAATTACTGGCTCCAGGCGCTGGACCAAGTCCTGGTAGGACTGGAAAACAAAATGGGAATTTGTCAAGGCATTTCGTAAACAGAGGTTTAAAGCAGCAGCAGCAATTTTAGCACAGCTTCACCTTCAGGAAATCATCAATTTCAGAATCAAAATGCACACATTTAGGGATGATCTGGTGAACACAGGGAGAGAAAACGGCAAAGAGCAGAAGGTGAAACTTAAGGTCAGCAACCCGCAGATTACAGGAGGGTTTGGATTACGGGTAACTCTTCAGGAGCGCCATAACAAAAACATAAAATGGCCAGTTATACACTGAAGGTTGTGAGGTAAACCCAGAAACGGCTCCACACCACCCCCACATTCATCTCCTTTCCATTTTCTATGGTGAAAATTCAGGCTTTGCCCACATGAGTGGGATGCAGAAGCCCCTCAGTGTCCAAGGGGGGCATCGAGGGACTCAGGAAGTGGCTCAGTTCATTGACTGAAAGGCATCATCTGCACACCATGACAAAGGAAATCAATGAACCTTCTCTCTGAAAGACAATTATGGATCCTAACGTTTTCAGTTGCTCACACAAATATTGGCAGAGAAAGAAAAAATAGGTCAAGTCTTTCAATTCTACACATATCTCTTTGGTTTACATATACTGTATCATTGTTATTCTCTAAGGGTCTTCACCTCGCCTCCAGGATAGCGATAAAGGTATTTCTCCTGATCTCTCAATGCAAACTCATCTGGATACTTGACTTCAATTTCTCCATAGGTCATTTCTTCACATACCCCCTGAGGAAAGAACAACTTGTTACAACCCACCCCATTTCAACAGAGGAGATGCAACAAAGAGAAAAAGGCAACTGGCTGAGATGAGCAATTCCTTTATGTGATGAAAATGATGGACAGTATATCTACCATGGCCACACCAATGGCCTTCCAATACCTAAAGGAGCTGACAAAAAAAGCTGGAGAGGGGCTTTGGACAAGGGCCTGTAGGGACAGGACAAGAGGAATGGCTTTAACCTGCAGAGGGGAGACTGAAATGAGCTCTTAGGCAGAAGCTCTTCCCTGTGAGGGTGCTGAGGCGCTGGCACAGGGTGCCCAGAGAAGCTGTGGCTGCCCCATCCCTGGCAGTGTTCAAGGCCAGGTTGGACACAGGGGCTTGGAGCAAGCTGCTCCAGTGGAAGGGGTCCCTGCCTGTGGCAGGGGTTGGAGGTGGAGGAGCTTTAAGGTCCCTTCCAACCCAAACTGTGCTTCTACAGGCTGGAGCACATTATACATGGACATGGTTAGAGATGAATAAGAAATGGTCATTTTATCGTAGTAAATTTGGTTTTAAGCATTATTTTCTGCCTCGGAAAGCTAAAGGCTTCAGTCAGCATTTCACTCACAGCGTCGATCTCATTGAGAATCTTCCACTGCTCGTACATGACCCCCAGGGACTCGGCCGTCTGGATCGTCCTTTTCAGCTGGCTCGTCCACACCTTCAGGTCAACGATTTCCTGCTCCTCAAGGAACTTCTTCAGCGCCTGAGCAAACTGGAGAAAACACCAGGGGAGGTTAGGAGGGAGCAGGAGCTGCTGCCACTCTTCAGAGCATCATTTCAAGGGCCGTGGCTGTTGCAGCAAGATCCATCTGCGGGGCTGCCCCTCGCAGGAGTCGGATGCAGAGCCCGGCTCTGGTCACACAACACATACAGCAACCCGGGTGCTGCCAAACACTTACCTGCTTCCCACGTGGTGACAGACCAGAATCCCCACCAATCTTGCCAACAAGATTATATTCACTCTCACCATGTCGGCAAAGGTAGATGGTACGCGGCTGGACATGAATGTTCATTAGGTAATAGACGATTTTACTCTGGATGTAATCCTGGACTCTGTTTACTAGGAACCGCTGTCCCACATTGATCACTTTAATGAAGGAAAGATCTCTGGAGTCAACATAAGATAAGAACACCCACACGACTGGTTTTAAATATGAAGCACGTGCATCTGCGGGTGTAATCTAGCTATTAATCCTCTAGTAAAGGCATCAGCACTACCACTGGGTCACTCCAGCAGACAGAAGAGACACTGAACTGCTTGCACAAGGAGCTGCATTACGTTGCAGTACACTAGAGAAAAACCCTTTCAAATCACTTGGGAACCACCTTCACACAGGCAACTTTGGGAGAGCAGAGGCTCCAGCAGACACATTATAGCATCCGGAGCCAGAGAACAGCAGCGACAAAGCAAAGCAGCTCACGTGTGCAAGGATAAAATGCACCCCAGGGCTTTGCTTACTTGTCATAGGCATCAGGATCCAGAGGCTGGTAAGTGACCTTGTAGCACTCTATCCTCTTCAGGAAATCATCCATCACGTTCTCCCTGTTTCTCTCTGGGTAGTCAGGGCTGGAAACCTTCACCTCCTGATAAGAGACAGCACCACTTTGTGAGAGTTAAGTAAACTCACCCGGGGAACAAAGGCAAAGCTGAATAACATTATTCTTCCCCTTGGAAACAAACAGGCATTGTTTAACCCTGCCCTGTGGAAAAAACCCTGCTCCTGGAGAGGAAACAAAGGGCAACTCTGAAGGCACTGTGGTGCTTGGCCCTCTGACAGACACAGCTGCCTTGCTGCTCGCCTCCCCCTAACAAGAAAGCACACTTCAAGGTCAAACATTTCTCAGCTTCATTTGATTTCCACCTTCTCACATAGCCTAACTGCATCTTTAGCTTTTCTAAAGCTGCAAACCTTACAGCTGCTTATTTAGGTGAAACATAAGAGCAAGATGTTTGCAGACACTGCTGTAAGCTATTGTGGCTGGTGACCTTGTACTGAGCACCCTCAGAAGGCACAGGCAGCCAAGCCTGGTAAATGCAGCACGCACCAGGATATTGGCAGCAATGACTTCTGGATCGTCACAGACGGACTCCACAAAAAACACCTACAAAGAAGGCAAAGAAGCGTATTTCAGAGAGTCAAGAACTCTACCCTGGATCAAAACTCAAGCGCTCCTGCCCCAGGGAGCAGTAATGCCCCTCGGTGCAGCAACTACAAATTAAACACAGCAGCACCACTACCTTGAAAGCATTTTCTTTAGCAAAACTTAGTATCAGGTCCCGTCTTTCTCGAGTGGTGTTGGTCGCATCAAACACCTACCAGAAAATGAGGAAGCAGCAATGAGCAACTTCATCTAAGGCTTTTAAACCAGCCCCAAAACACTGGGGGTAACAATCGAGTCCCCAAATAACGTGGGCAGCTTTAAACTACCCAAACATAACCCATATTCAGAGCAGCAAAGTCTTACAGCTATTTGCCCACACTCCTCCAAGAGATATGCCTTCACGTCTTGTAGAGCCACCAGGGCACATCGCCTGCAGGAGAGAAACAAGTACTCTTAGAGCTGATGGAAAGCATTCAAACACCAAAGCTTCTGAACCACTGGGAGAGGTTTGAATACCTTCTCCCTCTGCCCATGGAGGACCCATCCCTGCATCCCTAAGAACCCCAGGGATCATAAGGCACCTCTGCCTAAAACCTGCTTGTGGCAGGATCCCTGCATGCACTGGGCTGCCTCATCCCCTAGTTTCAATCACTGTTAATTTGTGCCCCTGAAATACAGAGCCTGCCAAGACCTGAGACTAACCAGACCACCACAGAACAGTTCTGCTCCTTGATACCAACTTACTTGCGGATTTCCATGGCTTCTTTGTTATCATGCCTGAAGAAGTCATAGGACTTGTAAGACTTCACCGCTTCCCGGCGATACACTCCTAAGTTAAACACTTCACACACAAAAAGACAAGCATGTGAGACTGACAGCACTGCACAGGCAGCTCTCACACTGCTTTCTGCACAAGGGCAGTCCCAGCACACACCTTTGGTGGGCACCCCGATCCAGTTGAGGTAGCGGGTGAGCTTCTTGGACACGTAGGTCTTGCCGCGTGCAGGCAGGCCGATCATGACGATCAGCGTTGGGGAGTTGGTCATGTAGGAAGCCCATGCTGCAAACCCAAAACCAACCCAGGAGCATCAGCAGCATCGCAGAGTATCTGAGAGCAAGAACCAAGCCCCAGCCCAAAGCCATGCAGAGCTGCCCATCTTGTGCCAGTATTTAAAGGGAGGCTACAAAGACCACAAGGGTCCCCAGCATAAGAAGGACACGGAGCTGTTGTCAGGCTTTAACCTGCCAGAGAGGAGGCTGAGATGAGCTCTCAGGGAGAAGCTCTTCCCTGTGAGGGTGCTGAGGCGCTGGCACAGGGTGCCCAGAGAAGCTGTGGCTGCCCCATCCCTGGCAGTGCTCAAGGCCAGGTTGGACACAGGGGCTTGGAGCAACCTGCTCCAGTGGAAGGGGTCCCTGCCTGTGGTAGGGGTTGGAACTGAATGAACTTTAAGCTCCCTTCCCTTCCAACACAAACCATTCCATGATTCCAGAAAGATGGAGACTCCCTTGTGCAAAGAATCACGTAGGAAAAACAAGGGGCATTGGGTACAAGTTACCCATGGGGCAAGAGGCAAACTTTGCCCAATGAGAACAATATAATCTCCCCAGGGAAGGGGAGGACTCCCCCGCTGCTGCCCACCGTTACGATCTGGCTGGACAGGGTGCTGGGACATTCAGCCTAGGTCATGCTTTGCCAGGGAAGACTGGACCAGATGCTCAGAACGCCCTTCCCACCCCGGGATTCTAAGATTCTCCGGTCTCCCGGATGGTCAGACCCCCGCCGTGCATCTCCTAACGGGCTCCCTGGTGTCCTCACCGCTCATTAACCACTCTGCGGTCTCCCGGGTGTCAGCTAATGAGCCGCATTAGCCTCGACGCGCCCGCTGAGCTAATGGAACTAATACCAACCTTTAGCCTTAAAGCTATTTGCTATTTACCGACCGGGCAGGAGCCGCCAAGGGCGAACGTGCTTTAAATAAAACACTCACGTTCTAGCAGAAAACAGCCCGAGTCCCGGAGCTGGGAGCGGAGCAGCACCGGGAGGCACGGAAAGAAGGACGGGGATGAGAGCGCCGAGCACCCTCGGGAGCGCACGGGCAGGACACCGGGCACCGGCTGCGCGCCCGCGGACGGGGGGGGGGGGACGGACGCGGGTTGAGGAAAACGCGCGCGGTTTTAAGCGCGATCCTTAAATTAGATATAGATTATATATAGATATGGTTTTAACCCCTAAAGAGCGGCAGCGCGCAGACCCCATTCCGGACCGGGCTTACTCACAGCACTGCTTCTCTCCGCCGCGCAGACCCCCGGGCCTGCCCCTCGGGCCGCCGCCGTGCCGCGCCGCCGCCATGGCCCCGCGGCGGCGCGCCACGAATGCAAATCACACGCAAATTATATGCAAATCCCTACATGAGAAGCGCGAGCGCGCCCCGCTGCCCCCGACCCCGCCACCAGCGCTCCGGTTGGATGCGGCCCAGCCAATGACGGCGCGCGGAACGGAGGTCTCGCGAGAGCGGGCAGGACGGAAGCCGGCCCGTGAGGAGGAGGAGGAGGAGGAGGAGGAGGAGGCGGCGGCGGCGGCGGCGCGGGGCGGCCCCGCCGAGGATGCTCCGGCTGCGGTGCAAGGCCCGGAGCGGCTCCCACCCGCTGCCCGGGCTCACGGCGCACTCCCGGCTCCGCGACATGCAGGCCGCGCTGGCCGCCCTCACCGGCGTGCCCGTCCCGGCACAGCGGCTGCTGCTCGGCTTCCCGCCGCGGAGCCTGGACCTCAGTGACGGCGAGCGGCGGCTCGGCGAGCTCGGCATCCACTCGGGTGAGGGCCGGGCCTGCGCGGTGTGGGGTGTGGGGGGGCGGACACCGGCGCTCCATGGGGTGTAATTAGCGTAATGAAAAGAGGCTGCGGCCCAGCACGCCCCTCATCGGCCGCTGTCGGGCCGGTTCCTCCCCCCGGCGGGAGCTGTCAACACCCGGCTCGCGGTGCTTCCTGCTCGCCGGCAGCGCCCGTCGTGGCTTTACCCGCGTGTCGAGGGTCCGCAGGGCTGGGGCCCGGTGGGTGAGTACTGCGGAGCCTCCTCTGCGTGCTTGGTCCGTGGGCTGTGGTGTTACCGGCTGGTCTGGCAGAGGCGGTTTCCCATCAGGATATGGTGCTGAGGGGGGAAATGAGCACAAGCCGCAATTATAACAATGCAGCCGCGTTGCTTTGGTTTAGGACCAGCAGCACGTTTAAATGCGGTCTGCAAGTAGAAGTGTTCAAGGCCTGGCTGGGCACAGGGGCTTGGAGCAAGCTGCTGTAGTGAAAGGTGTCCCTGCCTGTGGCAGGGGTTGGAGCTGGAGGAGCTTTAAGTTCCCTTCCAACCCAGACTGTTCTGTGGTGCTGTGATTTCCCTCAATTCCTCCTCCTCCTGTGTTTGACAGGTGATACACTGATCGTTGAAGAGGACGCGTCCAAAGCCAAGACTGACTCACCCGTGGTTGCAAAAAGAACGATGTCTAACTCGGTCAGGGAAGCTGTGCCTCTGCTGGCCAGGAGGGTTGTGCCAGCAGATAACTCCTGTCTCTTCACCAGTGTGTACTATGTGGTCGAAGGAGGCGTCTACGACCCCGGCTGCGCTCCAGAGATGCGCAGCCTCATAGCCCAGATAGTAGCAAGCGATCCGGAATCATACTGTGAGGCAGTTCTAGGGAAAACCAACAGGGAGTATTGTGACTGGATCCGGAGGGAAGAGACGTGGGGAGGAGCCATCGAAGTGTCCATTCTGTCCAAGTTTTACCAGTGTGAAATCTGTGTGGTGGACACACAGACAGTCAGGATCGACCGCTTTGGGGAAGATGCTGGTTACACTAAGCGGGTCCTTTTAATATATGATGGGATTCATTATGATCCACTTGAGCGTAAAATCCCAGACTCGGACGTTCCTCCCCAGACCATTTTCTCCACCAGTGATGATATTGTCCTTGCACAAGCTTTGGAGTTGGCAGATGAAGCCAGGCGGAAGAGGCAGTTCACGGATGTGAATCACTTCACGCTGCGGTGCATGGTGTGCCAGAAGGGACTCACGGGACAAGTGGAAGCCAGAGAACACGCCAAGGAGACCGGACACACCAACTTTGGGGAAGTGTGACATCTGCATGAGGACGGTTACATCGACTACCTCATCGGTCCAGAATAAAATTCTGGATTCCCAGATAAGCTGTATGTAATCCTACAATTCCGTTCACAGAGCTTGAAAAGCAAATTAACTTAATGATGGCCAGGATGCACAGGTTTGTTATGGCTAGGGATTTATCCCAAGGGATTTGAAGTAGGTATCTTCTCGCATGCTAATTTATAGTACTTTGGCAGGTGGTATACACTGGCAGCTAGAACTTGATTCCTGAAATAGTCTTTGTGTGTGTGAACTGAGCAGACGTATTAAATCAGGCTCATTCAACACTAGCATAAAATCTAGCCTTTAAATTGCTGACTTAATCTCTCTGTATCATGTGTTCAGGGTAATTAAATTAAGGGTTTGGGAAACACTCAGATCAGCATTATTTATGCTAAGGATTAGACTCTGCACATGCAAGCAGTTCTTGCAGGGGAAACTGCTCATTTGGTGCACACTTAGGGATGGAAAGAGTATCTCCAAAGCTGCCCTATACTATGTTACCATCAGAAGTAGACTGTATTGTGTGTGTGAAGTCATGGCTTTAGAGAAAGAAATGGCCTCTAAGCTTTAAGGTAGCCTTCTTTAAATTAATAAGTAGATGGTTAAGTGTTGAATAAACTTACTAATCCTCTGTAGGTAGTTTTTAGTTGCTTGAAAAATAACTATCAACCCCCTGGTGTTTACACTGCATCAGAACATAGGCATGTTTCTTGAAATAGTTTGGACTCTTATTCACAATAGTATCTGAAATCCTGGCAAGAGGGAAATAGAGTAGTTAGGGAAGTGACTCAGTTTGTTACATCCATTGAAGCAGACTTGGGTATAGCTCATGGCCACAGTGTTACTAAGCTGTACCAGATTCCAAACACTGTAAATGAGCACTTTAAGGTATAGTTCTCACTCCTTCCTGCTAAAAAGTTTTGCCTTTTTTAGAAGGACAGAGAACCCAGAAGGGAGGCTTGAATTTTCTTCATCTGCATTCTGCCTTAACGTGTTTGATTTGTCACCGATGACTGTTCAGTGGCAAGACTTTAATCCTGATAATGAAGGGTGCAGTTTAACTTCCAGAACAAAATAAGCTATGAAGACTGCCCTACTTCTCGGACTGTTCACGATCAGGGAAGTTGAAATTGGTTGAATCTATCTTGCCTCACAGCAGCTGGAAGTGCTGTTGAGGTCTTTTAAAAGGTGCTGTAAAGGTGCATATTACTGAAGGGGATTTTGGTTTTTCCTTGATGAAATGCCTACAACACATGCTTGTTTTAATGACTTTTAAAATATCCTTAACCTGCTCTTTTTCTGTTGCTGTTTTGAGTTACCTTCCTTGCACTTTTACAAATGGGGAGCAAGAACCTGCATCTTCAGACTGAGGCAGAAATCAATCCACTTACCAAAGTGGAACTTAAGATCTAGTGTTACCTAAGCTGGTGCAGCAAAACCGTGTTTGTAGAAGGCACGTTTCACTGAAGTTCTCAGCAGAGGCTCCCAGTTGGACCTTGAAATACAGGAGGGTCTTATCAAGGAAGGAACGTAATTACAGAAGTGCTTTGCTGAATTGAGGCGTGAATAATTAAGTATAAAGGACAGAATCACTATGGACCAGGTGTCTTTTTAATTCAGTATTAAAATACATGTTAGCACTGTTGGGAGTTTCCTATAGAAAGCGACTTAGTTTCCAGTGTTAAACTTCACTTGGCTTTTAGTCTGTCATAGGAAAAAAACAAACCAAACCAAACCCCCAACATTAAAACCAGTTCTCTAGAAGCTGATGCTTACAAACCTAAGGAAATACCTGACAGTTCAAAGGAACTTGAAGATTACACTGTGTTATAACTACTTGAGATGAAATACTGTCTAGGAATGAGACCAAGAGACTGTCAATCCTCAGTTGTATTCTCAGCTTTCCCATGGAAGCAGAGAGACGCCTTGGACAAGGAGCTGAGCCTCACCATTGCCATCTGTAAAATGGACATAAAACCTACCTCAGAGAGGTGTTCCCGGTGACTGGCTGGGGTGGCTTTGAACCAGAAGTGGAAGATACATATTTATTGCCTGCCATGTTTGCAAATGCATATTGGCTTTGGGGAGCTTTGTGTCCTGGATGGATTTCTGCAGGCATGGAAAAGGATTTTTCTTTGGGGTGTTTCTCAGTTGCAGTATTTTGAAGATGAGGGTTATTTAATCCGGAGCGCTGAGCTTTGCTATGTCATGTTTGCATTGGAAATCGGCTCCCAGAGACTCAGTTCCACTCGAGGGAGATGTGTCAATATCACTGCTTGGATGTTTTCTTTTGTTGCCTAGAAAATAAAATCTCTTTGGTTTAAAAAATGTCCACTGACACTGCTGGAGTTCATCTTTGTAAGAGCTGATGCTGTTAGACACTGACAGATGGATTTCAAACAACAGGGATCCGTGGTGCTGCCTGCGAGTCAGAAAACTTCATGTGATTCTCAAACTCTCCCAAAGTGTCTGCATTATCTAAGATACAGGTACATTTGAAGTACAGCCCCCTCTGTTTCAAGTGTTGGGAATGTTAGCTTTGGGGTGGTTTTGGTATCATTTTTACCAGCATTTTTGCCTGCCCTTAACAATACAGTTACAGAAGCATCACAAAAGCGGCCCGCTGATAAGATGAACTTCAGCACACCACTGACATATTTACACTGATCTGTTACTAATTGTACAGCAGAATGTTAGTTACACCTGTTTTACCCTAGAGGTGGGACGTGGGCTTGGGTCCTGGCATGGAATAGCATCACCCATACCCAAGGCCTGCAAAACGTGGGCTTATGTCCTTACCGTCATTCCCAATCCCATACAAGTTTAAAATGAGCATTAAATTCCTTGCTGAATACTTCAACACAGGGTTCAGTAACTAAATGAGCCCTGGAAACGGGAAGGTTTGTTTTGGGGGTGTGCTTACTAAAAGGTGGATTATTACTGGTATTGTTTTACCAAGTTCTAGAACATCCCTCAAATAAAGAGTCCTCGTTTCCTGGTGCCAGTCTGGCTGTTTTACCAGCACTAAATTCCTTCTTTAATTAAAGGAGAGCCCCACACACTAATCATGTGGCCTTCCACAAACATGTATTGTACCAAGAGATACGCATCAACTCGTGGTTCTAACAGCACTTGAAAAGCTTGTCTGAGTTTACGTGCTGAGCAGATGCTGAGCAAGGGCTTTCACTGGTGGAGGCAGCATGTTCCCACTGCAGTAAAGCAAGCGGGAGCAAATGCT